CAATGTTTGAAAGACCAATAATTTAAAGACAATGTTTGAAAGACCAATAATTTAAAGACAATGTTTGAAAGACCAATAATTTAAAGACAATGTTTGAAAGACCAATAATTTAAAGACAATGTTTGAAAGACCAATAATTTAAAGATCAATGTTTGAAAGACCAATAATTTAAAGACCAATGTTTGAAAGACCAATAATTTAAAGACAATGTTTGAAAGACCAAAAATTTAAAGACAATGTTTGAGAGACCAATAATTTAAAGACAATGTTTGAGAGACCAATAATTTAAAGACAATGTTTGAGAGACCAATAATTTAAAGAAAATGTTTGAGAGACCAATAATTTAAAGACAATGTTTGAGAGACCAATAATTTAAAGACAATGTTTGAGAGACCAATAATTTAAAGACAATGTTTGAGAGACCAATAATTTAAAGACAATGTTTGAGAGACCAATAATTTAAAGACAATGTTGTAAAGACCAATAATTTAAAGACAATGTTTGAAAGACCAATAATTTAAAGACAATGTTTCAAAGACCAATAATTTAAAGACAATGTTTGAAAGACCAATAATTTAAAGACAATGTTTGAAAAACCAATAATTTAAATACAATGTTGTAAAGACCAATAATTTAAAGACAATGTTTGAAAGACCAATAATTTAAAGACAATGTTTGAAAGACCAATAATTTAAAGACAATGTTTGAAAGACCAAATTAAATTTCTGTTACAAACTTTCTGGTTATATTTAAAGACAATGTTTGAAAGACCAATAATTTAAAGACAATGTTTGAAAGACCAATAATTTAAAGACAATGTTTGAAAGACCAATAATTTAAAGATCAATGTTTGAAAGACCAATAATTTAAAGACCAATGTTTGAAAGACCAATAATTTAAAGACAATGTTTGAAAGACCAATAATTTAAAGAAAATGTTTGAGAGACCAATAATTTAAAGACAATGTTTGAGAGACCAATAATTTAAAGACAATGTTTGAAAGACCAATAATTTAAAGACCAATGTTTGAAAGACCAATAATTTAAAGACAATGTTTGAAAGACCAAAAATTTAAAGACCAATGTTTGAAAGACCAATAATTTAAAGACAATGTTTTAAAGATCAATAATTTAAAGACAATGTTTTAAAGACCAATAATTTAAAGACACTGGCAGATGTGGGTACACTGGCAGATGTGGGTGCACTGGCAGATGTGGGTACACTGGCAGATGTGGGTACACTGGCAGATGTGGGTGCACTGGCAGATGTGGGTGCACTGTCAGATGTGGGTATACACTGGCAGCTGAAGTCGCAAACCTGCACAGAGGCGGCTCAGGCCATAGGGTTGTTCATCACTGTAAAGAAGCAGTAATGATGTCTGGCAGTCCCCTGAGCGCCTGAGCAGCCCTCTTTAGGAACATACTTCCGACCTCCATGGCATAAGTAAGGGGGTAGAAAAGGTTCCCCTAAAACATTGCCTGCTCCAACTTCCCTATCGAGCCTGCTACCGCAGTTGGAGGTGACGCAAAGTGAAACGCCTTGGAGAGTGCAGTCGAAATTCAAATTAAAACGTCTTAAAATCTAACCAGTCAAAACACAAGATCAAAACTATCACACTAAAAATAGGTGCTTGGAATGCGCGCACTCTTCAGGACAATGACAACGTTGATAGACAGCAGAAGAGAACAGCCCTTGTAGGAAATGAACTAGCCAGGTACAGTGTAGATACTGCAGCCCTCAACGAGAACCGGCTTGCAGGAAAGAGGCTCCAGATAAACTTTCTTTTGGAGTGGCCGAGGAAGCGAAGAACTTGAAAATTGCCTCGGTCAAAGCTGGTCTTGATGTAAATGAAGCGATCACAAAAATATATGATCAAGTCACGCAACACACACGCTGATGATGACATCAATATAAACAACCACACATTTGAGAGAGTGGCTACATTCAAATATCTAGGGGCGACTGTAAACAAGCACAATGAAATAATTTTGGAGGGAAAATAAAGGATAATAACCGTTCCTATTTCAACCTACAAAAGCCACTTTAAAGCAAATACTTCTTAAGGGGAACAAGAAGACAATATAAACCACTTTCATAAGACCAGTAGTAGCTTACGCTAGTGCAACTTAGTCCCTTACCAGAAAAGCAGGGAACCTGCTAAATACATAGGAGAGGAAAATCCTCATGAAAAGATATGACCTAGTGAGAGACAATGGTGTTTCGAGAATCCGTGCAAACCAAGAGCTATACCAATTGTACAAAGACCCACCCATAGACGCAACAATAAAAAAATGCAGACTGTGCTGGGGAGGACATATTGAAAGGATGCCTGAATGTAGAACAGAAAAAGTGATGTTCAGGCAGAAACCCAAAGGCAGACTGCTCACTGGTCGCCCAAGGCTGAGATGTATCGACGATGTAGAATAGGACTTACACCAGTTGGAGGTTCACGCATGGAGGCTGAATGCCATGGATCTTTCTGGATGGAAGGATGTGATAGAGCAGGCCAGGGCCCTACATGGGCTGTAACGCCAATGCTGATGATGACATTGAGCTGAAACTTGGCACATAGACTCTTTGCCGATGACAAAACATTTTTACAAATTTGTAACAATGTGTGCATTTAAGACATTG